ACGCAGACACTCGTCCCCTCTCTCTGTGCACCCCGGCCATGGCAGTAGCACTGTGGTGGTGCCGGCTGTCCCTCATGCTTGTCCCCCACAGGGAGAAAAGAAGGAGATGGCAAACTCCTGGAGGATGTCTCCTTCAGAGATCATAGAATCCCTGAATAGGGTTGTAAAGGACCTTAAGATCATCCAGTTCCACCTCCCTGCTGAAGCAGGCTGTCCTGCATACCCCATAAAGTGCAAACCAGGCTGACTTGTCCATGTGCATCGCACTGCCCGGTAAGGGCATCTTTGTGTGAAAGCCGGAGCTGCAGCCAGGCTAGGGCAGTGCTGGAATACCTGGTGTGAGGCAAAGAAAGGTCAGTTTGGAAGCCAAATATTGAGATAATTTTCAAAAAGAAGCCCTAGAAAGCTAGAAATGTTGGAGAGGCACTGACAGAAATGCTCCAGCATTATTTGCAGTTAATGCCACGGTGTGCACAAGCTCTAAATGGAAGGACTGTGTGTGTTTCAATGTAACCCACTGGTTAAATTTGAGGTCAACCTGGCGAAGTTGCTGCCCATGGGGGAGCGTTGAGGGAGGCTGTGGCCCTGTGGCACAGCAAAGCTGCCTCAGGTACACAGGTGCCATTTTGTGAGGGGCATGGCAAATGGCGGCTCTGGTCTGTGGCCTTGCTCCATCTCTCCTTCCCTTCATTCCTTACTGCTTTAGAAACAAGTTTAATCCTGCTTTCAGTGATAAATAATGATGGGACATTATTATCTTCAGACCCAGGCTGTCTTCTTGTTGAACCCTGAACTGCAGCAGCAGAAAAGTGTGTTTTGGTGTGGGGGGGTTGGCTGTGGTGAGGATCTGTGGAGCTAGGGTGCCTGAGGGAGGGCAGCTGGAGCACAGAGGCCTCCGAGCTCCCAGGTAAGTGTGTTGGCATTACCTGAATTTAATGGCTTTATATTTAGAGAGACAAAAATGTTTCTTTCTCATTTGAAACCACCTTTAACACTTGTGTGATGTGGGTTGAGTGGCTTCTGTGTGTCTTTGGTCTGAGTCTCCTTGGCAGGAATCCCACCAGGGATCAAATCGCAGGCCCTTCACGCGCAGGCCTCTGGATTGAAAACATAGTACCAGAATCAGGTTTTGATTTTAATACAGCCCTGTTTTCTTTCATCAAGAGTTTTGAAATGCTTCTGAGGAGGTTGGTGATAGTCATAATCTCAGCCACAGTGATTTCTCATAAACATTGAAAGTGGAGCTTTACTGAGTATAGCGTCTGTTTTAAATGGCTGGTGGCTCACTTGTTTTTAATATGAGCACAAGCACAGAGGCAAGTAAAATCTAATGAAAGTGCTCAGAAGATTTTGTTTTGATACCCCACAGTAGCCCTGGTTTATACTGAAGGGGGGGAAAGTTTTCTTTATAGGCAGGCCTGTAGAACCTAGAAATTTAATCTTTCTCCAGAACTTATTTTATTGCATTTTTAATTTTCTCTTGCGTAGCCCTGACCCTTTTCTATAGCTTTTGACGCCTGGTGCTTAATTACTTATCATTAGCAATGTACATGGGGGCCTTCCTGCATATTTATAAATGTGATCATTAGTACATGGGAAGACAAAGACTTCTTTAAGACCATCATTAGTTATTCTGTTTTCATAGAAATGTTCATTATAGAAACTACCCACCTGGTTAGATAATTATAATTAAGAATTGGTAATCTCCTTTGCATTTTTAACTTGATCTTCAGGACGTGTGTGCGTAGCTAAAGGAGCCTTGTTTGGACATCTCACTATCTTTCCTTTTTGATTTGAATTGTCAAGCAGATTTAACTGCTGTGTTTTGGATGTGTATACCCTAAGAATGATTTATGGAAAGATAGGTTATTAAGAAAAAGGAAAAAAAAAAAAAGAAGGAAATCAACCCAGCAATTATCTCTGAATTCATTAACTGCACACTGGCAGCGAGAGGTTAGATAAGCCATTTACTGTAATGCACAGTATGAAGTTAAAACAAAATGTCACTGGAGCCTGCTTTCTCTGCCCTGTCTGTGGTACTCACTGCAGATACCCAGGCTGCAGGAGAACACTTGCAGAAAGGTGTCATTTCCATGTCATGCTATGGTCTTACTTGGGAATGCTAACAATAAACGTGATGGTGTCAGTACTCCTGCTCCCAGCCATGGTGGGGAGCTGGTGGGAAACCCATCCTAAATGCATGCATGTGCCCATGTGCTGTGATGCTGTAGGGAAGGGAGAGCATCACCCCTCTGTGCCCACGGTGGTGGGCACAGAGAGCGCTCACCTCTGATAAACCACAGCGATGGGAAGAGTTTGTCAGTGGCATAAATATCATCTGTAAACAATTAAGCAGCTACTGCTCATTCAGGGCAGTTTTGAGAAGCAAAGGAAGTCTGCAATCAGTTATATCTCCAATTACCATAAAAATATATTAGCCATTCATTCATTTATTAATGATTCATCAGTTAACCACACATAATGAGCAAATAATTAGCAATGCTGTACGGTTGCCAAAATTGAAGAAGTGTTGGCATTTTAAAGATGAAAGGTTGCGTTTATGTAAAAAGTCGGGTGGTGATAAAGTTAATACAGGAGATAATTATGAAAGTGGCTGTCCTATTTTAGAGGCTGAGGTCCCACAAAACTTGCCTAATTGAAGTGAAATTAATATTCTTCAAAAGCATGCGTGTTACTGCATACTAGCTGCTGCATTTACTCAGGGATCTCCCTTCAGTAAGGTACGTCGCACAATGCAAGTTAATAAAATGCCAGACAGCAAGACTGTGTTCTTTGTTTGCTCGGTTCAGGGCCTTGTGGAAAACAATAAATTGCATTCATGTCAGCCGAGGCCCATCCCTTTGCTAATTACCGTTTGGTGCTGAAATGACTTCTGTGAAATTGGGAGCATGAAGAAACACACAGCCATACAAGGGAGGCTTTTCAGACTACAGCAGTAAATGTGAGATAGGCCTTAGGCACACAGATGTTAAAACAGTGAATTCCCCTACAGATTACACTAATGGAAACCCTGTCAGGGTAAGTCAAATCCAGGGTCTGTGGTCAAAATCTAATTAATGTTTCTGTACTTAAAAGAATATGAATGCCTGGAGGTGATGAGGAACGTATGAGAAACTCGCTTGTTTGTGAAATTGCTCATGTGGATGGCAAGCGCCACTGAGCCCTTCCTTATGAGGTAGCACCTGCTGGAGGAGCTTCTGATGCCGCTCCGTGCAGTGATGCTGGCACTGGGCTCTGCCCCTCTTGGAAGTCCTGCCTGAAAATGCTGCTGAGGCCTGGGCTGCCTCCCCAGTGAACAGCCATTGCCATCATTAAATGTCCCCTCTTCCTTCTGTGTGACTGAGTGGTGTCAGCATCATTGTTAGGAAGTACTTGTAGATGAAGACCTAAGCAAAGGCCATCTCCACTTTGTGTGAATACAAAGGCTTGCCCGTCTAGGCTGAGCTTAAGGACACTGCTGGGGCTCTTATGGCACTTTCACAGCTGCAGTGCGTGGCCTGTGCAATAGCAGAGGAAATAAATTTATAATGCAACAATCTCTTCATTTTCACAGGCACAAAAATTCCCCTAAATACTTAAAATAACACTCAGAGTGGGACAGACCTTAAATTTTGAATAAATGAAGCCCTAATCCAGTGTGTTGCTGAAACAAGCTTGTTATTAAAGAAATAAATTTGAAACAGCAAGTGGTTGGAGAATTTTGGATTTAATTATTTAAATCTACTTAAGATAACTCTCTAACACAGTGTTTGGCTTTCCTGTTGAGAGCATGTTTTCCAGGAAGGGTATCCCACCCAGTGCCTTGGAAAAATTAACTTTCTCATGCAACAGTGGTTTAAGCAGTAGAGACAAATAATTATTATTGTAATAAGGCCAGATACTGTATGGCAACTTGGTATGTCCTGGATGCATCCTGTCATGAAAACTGCAGTTATTCAGGTGGGCGGAGGGACTACTGCTCTCCTTGGCTAAATGAAGAATGTGATGCAGATCAAAATGCTCTTCAGGTAACAGAGTTCCCTTAGTAATGTTACAGAACCAGCCATGACTAACAGTACCCAAATCAGCAGGTTTGTGATTGTAAGCTAATTTGAGGTATTATGTTTAATAGACAAATATTGGGACTCAGACTTTGTTCATTGCTGATTGCTATATTTCAGTTAAAATCTACTATTTCATCTTTAGGATGTAATACTGTCTTCTTACGTGGCATAGATCAACAAAGCAATAAATCTGTCTTTCCTTTTGTAGGGCCATAACAGGAGCTTCCTGGATTCATGGTCTGTATTTAAGGTAAGAATCAGACAAATGTCTTCAAGATGCTTCTGAGCTGCACAAAACCCTGCAGAGGGACAAGAAGTGGGGAGGCATTCCTTGTCTCCAGCCATGACCCAGGCACAGGGGAAGTTGACTTCCCCTGAAGCCAGGAGTGAGCAGGGGAGAAAACTCTGGCTCTGAGTCATGTTTCCTTCTCCTGGGCCTGTGCTGGGACAGAGGGATGTGGCCACACTCTGTGCTGGCTTGGCTCCAGCAGGGTAAGCATGCTTTATGTGTGCCATGGAAAATAGGGATGGGGTTTTTTGTGTTCGAGTTTCCTCACAAGTGATCATTTGTGTCTTCAAGGCATGATGTTTGTCTTCACCATTTCTTTCAGTATTTTCTCTGCAATACAGCTCTTGCAGGGGGGTTACATGCTAGTTTAGGGGTCAGACTCTGTTGCTGAGTATTGCCAGGACTCAATCTGTTGTGTTGACCACTGTGGCTCAAGTGCCAACCTCTGTCACAGGGATGAAGACTTTCACCTTTCCTGATGCTACTGAGGTTGCATTGCTGTAACTGAATTTGTGCGTTTAGTCATGCATAAGGGTGGGATCTTAGGGAGTGATCAGCTTTCTAGTCAAAATTCATGGGGACAAAAAAAGTCAAATCCAAACTTCTGACTAATCTAGTTAAGTGGTTAGATTACTACTCACAGGTCTAATGGTCAACACAGCTGTGTCATCCAGAATCCACCAGTGTCAACCAACTCAAAAGCTGGTTGAGCACTGAGTTCTATAAAGTTGACAATATGTGTAAGGGTGGTCTTCAAGCAGAACCCAGAAGATTTGCCTGGTTGTCCTCATGCAAGCATGCTCAGTGACTTACCTTGTGAGTATTAGCAATATTTTCTTTTAGATTTTTTTTTTTTTCAGGAAAAGGTAGTCCTACATATACCCTTTTCTGAAGAAATAATGTCTGTCTTTATGTGTTACATGAGGCAGGTGTTGGTTTAAACCTTAGCTCCTGCTTAAGATACCTCAGTCAACTGAAAAGGGTAGACTAGCTCCCTAGATGAGCCACTTTTTCCCTCCTTTGCTTTGACCCACTGATTCATTAAGGTCCAATAAAGAACGGGCTGAAGGATTGATAAAAATCCTTTGTTTTTTGTTTTTCCCCCAACAGATCTTCTGACCTATGCTGGTTTGTCAGTGTATTTTTCACTCGCACAAGTTACATATAAGCACACTGATACAGATGTTGTCTTCCTTAAAGCCACTTGTGTTTTTTTCCCTCAGTAGTAGATCAGGTTTAATTTTGGTTTTAACCAAAGCAAATGCTTTTCTGGAGATCTTTTATATTAGTGAAAATAAATAATGAAAAAATAACCACAGCAAGTCACAGTATCAAAAGGAAAAACCTTAGAAAGCTTAGTGGTGACCCTCCCTTTGTTTCCTTTTCCATTCTCCTCTTGCTGGCAGAGGAGGAGAAATGAAAACTTTGGCTTTGCTTTCCAGTTAAGCACCAAGAATGACTGGAAGTTTTTGAAACATGGAGGGGTTTTCATTGAAAATGCTTACTACTTTTCAACTCTGTGTCTTGCCTAGGTCAGTGTTAATGCTTCTCATATCTCCAGCCTCCCCTTTTTCTTTCCCTTCTCCTCCCACCAGCTCTGCAGTTTGCTACTCTAGGGTGAGAATAGCTGTTCTCAGTATGCTAATTTTGCTGCTTATCAGGCTCACCTGTATCTTGAAAAAAGGTGATTACCATGAATGTGCACCCTTTCCACACTCTGCTTCTGTGGTAGGAGAGGACTTCTGGGTGCCGGGGCTTCTGATGTGCCAGGACAGCAATGATGGCCTTCAGAAGAACCAAGATAAAAAAAAGCCCCAGTTGCAACTTCAAAGAATGGCTCTAATTTGCTGTTTGTGGCCTGAAAGAATAGCATTGCTATTCACAGTGGCAGTTTGTGACTGTGAACCTTCTTAGGTGGCTCTCAGATTTGTGTGCTGCAGCAGGCTTGCAGTACAGCAGGATGTGCCCTGAAACAAGAACCTGGTTAGTGGTGGTGTGATCCCAGTGCTGGCTGGGCACTGGCAGCTAAATGTGGATGAGAAAAAGCCATCTGAACTTTGGGACTCCTGGAATGTGGCATACTACTTGCCTAGGGCCATCCCTGCCCAGGAAAGCACTAAAACAGGTGTATAAATCCTACTGCGTTCAGTGGGATTTAGGCACCTGCTTAAAGTTAAGAGCTTGTTTAGAGAGTTTCCTGAATGAAAGCCTGACAATTATGCCCAAGAGATACTTTGACATAAGTTTTAATTTGCTCATCATAACCAGCTGTCATGAGTCTGTGTAAAAAGGGTTTGATTTTGTGAAGATGAAAGACTTCCTAGGCCCTTGGCTTTTGTGTAAGTGCTCTTCCCAGATGCCCAGCACCCTGCTGAGTTGAAGCAGCCCTTCTCAGCCCTACTTTTATTGCAGGTTACTCTGTGGTCCCACTTGGGCTGCAGTGCCAGCCCGGCACCCTATAAAGCAAACTGCCCTGCCAGCAACTGAAATCACCTAAGTGCACCTCTCCAGCCATACCCTAGCTAAGGCAATCTCTGCAGGCTACAATAGAGGAGAGAGTCCATGCTGTCTTTAGTAGGTGAGTGCAAAGGGAAGTTAGGGGAGAAAGAGAGAGGAGATTTGAGTCCCAGCTGAAGAGTCTGCTGGACCTCCCACTCAGAAACATAGCAGCCATCAAGTCCTTTTGTGTCACAGGAGTCAGAAAGATTCAAGAGCTTTTTCCTTTAGGATTCTTCCCTCCCCCCCCATAGCCCCTTCTTTCTTCCAAGAGAGTTTGAGGTTAAACTTAAAAAGAAATCTAACATTAAACTTACAACAACCAGTCTCAAAGGAATAACAAAATCCAACAAACTCAAATTAGTACTTTATTCTGTATGTGCACTTGTTTACATGCATCACCTACTTAAGGCAAACAGGACTGTGTCCATGTAGCTGCGAGTTAGTTTTGTGGGTTTTTTTGCTCAAATACGTTGTTAATTAGTCAGTGGATGATACAGTGTTGTATAGCTCTTGGAAAGACTAAATTTGCCATTAAAACATTTAAAAGGCTTTCTTTTGTAGAGTCCTTAGGTAATTAAGCTGAAGTGCATGTACATTTCCATATATAAATGTACTGGAGCAATCGTAGCTAATGTAGTAGTTAAGGTCAGGTAGAAACCAGCCTTGCATTTAGAGTCTTTTTTTCAGTACCTCACTCAAACCATCTCTAAATCTAAATTAATCTTCCAGAAATGTACTGGAAATTTGGTTTATGAGGGGAAAAACAAGGTCTTGCATTATTACCATAGTCTATCAGTCTTCCCTCAGCATGATTCCATTCATTTTGCAATGCGTGGCTGTTCGTCATTGCCACAACTGAACTTCAGAAGACTTTTGCTAGAATAAAGTATATCACAGAAATGGTCACATCGGTGTACCCCCACCAGGGCAGAATCTGGGATGCAACCCTGCGTGGCTGCAGCTCAGGGTCTGGGAGCAGATAAAGGGGAAAGCCTTTCCCTAGTCCACAAGAAGAGACTTGGACAGCATGGTGCTGAAGGCAGCTGTGACAAACTGGCTTTGCTGCTGTGTCCTGCTGTAGCATTGCTGTGGCCCACTCCCCTCCTTGAATACCCCTGCTGGGGCTGCAGCTTCCCTCTCTGCCTCCTGAAGCTGTTCCCTCCCTTGCAGACTTGGTTCTTCTCCTCATTGCCAAGTACACTGACTCCAGCCTGATCTGAAAGTTAATTTTAACAAATAACATCTTGGGCCGAGCCAAGTTAGGATCTGGAGATAGGACACGCTGTGGGAAGGAAGCAGGGTGGGAGGGTGTAAGAGAGCATGAACGCTCAGCCTTGTAATATGTGTGAGAGCTGATGCTCTCTGAGCAATCGAGTGCTTATTATTATTTCTCTTGGATAGGTCACCTGGGAGTGGAGGAATTTTTCATTTTAAATTAAAAAGAAATCTTTCATAATGCTCATTTCTGTAAGGAAAAAAAAAAGCCCTCACCTCATCATGGAAGCAATTAGATGGAGGACACACTGAAAGGAGTGATTAGTTGTTAATTTTTGAGCTGTTGGCCCTGACACAGGGTTTTTTGTCAAGGATTCTTTTTTTTTTTTTTTAAAGGTGTCTTTCATATGCCTATAGTCCAAGGTTACTTTTCATTCAATAGCAATTACCATATGTCCATTACATGCTAGAGATTGCTTGAGGTGGATGCAGTGGTCCCCATCAGAGTGTATGCCAAGTTGAAACACCAGCAGCTGTGTGAGCCACAGCAGAATTGTTCCTATCTGCTGCTTCTCTTTTCCAAGTCCTAGTAAATGTTCTAGGGAGTAACTTCCCCCTTCCTTGATGTGGCCTGAAAATACAGCCCTCCAGTTTGCATTGCAGGTTCCAAGTCAGCCGTGTCAAGATTTGAACAGGAATAAAGGGGGATAATGGGTCAGATGTAATTAAGAGGTAAAACTACTGCACATTTCAGTTTTCTTTCTGCCCATCAGATTGCAAACCACAGTCCCACCGCCACTTCAAAAACCTTATCTGTAACTGCGAACCCTCTATAAATGCTCTGTTGTATTAGATGGAAACCAGCTAACCAGATACCACAATACAAAAAATAAGTGCATTGTACCTCAGAAAAATATGGAGCTGAAAACACAGAAAATAATGCAGTCTTATTAAAATATGGACATGGTCCAGTAATGGAATGAGTAGGGAAAATTGAATGGATCAGAGTCAAGAAACACTCTGCTTGATACTTGGGGTTTTTTATTCGGCATTCAGCTTACATCAGTGTTAACATCTACAGAGAAATGCAGCCATTTACAATTTGCAGTTCAATGTGTTACTTTAATTAGTATGAAAATTAAAGGGCAACTATAGGCCAATGTGAATGATTATGGAAATACATGTGCATCACATGCAATGCTCTCATTTAATTAATCGTCTTGTAAACTATATCGAGCACTTTAAGTCAGTTGCTGAGTATAACTCTATTTTAAATAACCACTTAATACTTAACAGGATGTGGAGCAAACACTAGCGCACACGACTGCTTCTCAAGTTTCAGTGTCTGAGATTTTTTAAAGCTGACCCAAGTCAACCTAAAGAATGTTTAACACCCTGTGTCTGAACACAAGAAACTCTGTGATGTACAGACATTCAATTACATTGAGAAAAAAGTGAGAAACATTTTGTAAAACAGTGACTTCAGAAAACTAATTGGCAGCAGCAAACTCAAGAGTGAAGGCCAAAGCTAGAGGGGACCTTTTACTACAGTAACTCTAGTCAAGGAAAAGGAAAATAAAGGCATCTTTGTTTCTCAGACAAATTATCTGATTAAGAAATAAAACATTTTAACATGCTTTAAATGCGGCATTAATTATTTATATGAAAAAAAATTAAAGCCAGGTTCCATGAATTACACTTTGTGTGTGTGAATTGAACATTACAGGAATAGTAATCCTTTTACATTCATGCCTTACTTCATTAGGAAAAACCAAGTATTAAGGGCTCTATTCATTCAAAAAATTCTTATGCATTCAGATCACAACTTTGCTGTGGCCATTTTTTTTAAAGAGTACAATTTCCAGCACTGATTTTTAACAATGATTCAGAAAAAGCCATCTAATTCTACAGGATGGGCTCTAGGAAACGGAAGTGCTTAGAAAAGGACAGAGATACAGTGATGGGTCTTGCTTGTCATCAGTGAAAAGGCCCAGAGTAGGTCATATTGAGTGGTCTCAAAACTAGCATAATAACATAGAAAATCAGACACATTACTGGTGGGGAAGCTTTGAACTCTGTGAAGGCTTTTTCCTATAGATTGATTGGTAAATAATTCCCCCCCCCATTGATAGTTTCCAATGACTAGGCAGTTCTTTATTCAGGTGAATGAAAACCAGGTGTATTTAGGGATGTACTCTTCTATTTTCCATAGCAATGGTGTGTCTCATGCTTGGCTCCCTGGGAGGAGAGTCCATTCACTGGAGCTGCACTGATCTGTGAGATGTGGTTAAACATCTGCTGGGACTGAGGCTGGGACCATCAGTCACTTGTCTGCTCTTCTTTGAATGCAGACTCATGAGGTAAGGAGCTGGTAAACTCATTGTTTTGCTAAGATATATGAAAACAAATAATTGAATTTAGGTTTGTTTCAGCTTCTTTCCTTGAGTGTTTTGTTGTTGTTTTTTACTGACTGAAGAGAGGAACAGCTAGAACTGTGCCATAATGATAATCTTTTAACTTTCAAAATAATTAGAAGATTCATTTAACATTTAACTATTAACCTTGAGAGAGAGAGAGAAAAACCCAAACCCAATCCAGAAATCACCCAGAAGCTTGCAAGTTGTCAGCTGGCTGAATTTAAATCAACTTTTGGGAAACAAAATATTGGGAAATGGGGAAAGGCGTCAGATGGTTGGGTAAGAGTGATCTATTTTCAACATCTGCCTTTAGTTACATCTGCACAACCCCCTGAGTTCAGCAGAGTTTTACTTTTGCGACCGAGTTTGGACCAATGTTTTTAAATAGGCCCCAGTGCAGAATCTCTGAAGTGAAGACTGTGCTGCTCAGTGCCAGTGTAACCAGGCAGCTCTGGAGAGAACGGGTAATACAATATGTGATTGTTTCTCATGTAATTTTTAAAATACATGGAGGAGGAATACATTTTTTTATAATAGGGTGCTCCCTGTCTCTTTAAGTAACTGTCAGATGTAGGATGTCCTTGTGCCAAAATGCTACGGTCTGCTCCCTCTGTGCAATTGTTAATTAAATCCATCCCTTATTTTAGAGCCTGCCTATTCTCTTTACCCATTCTGCTTATCTGTGATACCAGATGATGCTCAGTAATTCATGGCAAACCTGCTCCCGCCTTCAGTTAGGGCCTCCTGTGCGCTGACCTTAACCAGCTTCACCTTTTCCTTATTCCCAAGGAGAATGGAGCCCTGGAGGCAACAGTTTTATCAACTTTTCCTGTTGACCAGATGATGGTTCAGTGATAAATAAATGAAGTGTGCTTGAGCTAGAGGCCTCCCATATGCTGCCGCTCCCTGCCCCTCTCCAGCTCCTGCTGCCTGTCTGAACACAGAGCTATGCAGGGAAAGGGGACTGTCCTCAATGGACAGCCTCAATAGGCACTGCAGGCTGCACCTCTGCTGGCAGGCAAGAACCACTTTTGCTTATCCAGGTTATGTTACTCTGCCAGTCATCACATCAGCTGAAAGCTTAGTCTGCTTGGTACTGAGCTGTGCCACCTGCAAGCCTCTTTACCCCACCAGTAAGGCTGATATACAGGAGCGGGTAGGAATATTTTCATAGCTGACAAGCTGTTTGCCATGAACAGTGTCAAAGATTTAAAAGCCACTTCTGCAAATGGGACTTTCTGGCAAATATAGGCTAAACAAATCTTTTATTATTACCATATGGCTAGAAATACTCCCGGAATTCTCCTGGAAATGGGTACTGTACCAGCAGAAAGCAATATTCTGTTGGCCTGTGCATTGCCTCAAGGGTATTTACTATGGTAATAAGATCAGTAATTCATCTCCTAAAATCACTGGGAGTACAAATGCTTATTTAAGTAGATGGTATCTTGATTGCAACTGAGTCGGGAGAGCTCTTAAAGCTGCCTGTTTAGGCTACAGATCTTCTGTTAAAGGCAAAGGGCTGGTGGTTCTTTGTAAACACAAGAACATCATGTTTCACGGCCACCTTACCTTTTCAGCAGTTCATGGCAGATGCATAGCACATCCCTTGGCAAAAATGGGTGTGTACAAATACCTCAGAAAATTATTCCATTTGGTCGGGGGCTTTTTTCCCACTTTTTTCTTCCCATAGCAATGTAATTGAAAGAAATATAAATCTCTCTTCACCTCCAAATGGTTGGTTAGAACAAAAGAGACAGGGTTAAAGCCATCCAGATCTTGTTGTGCTGAGGGATGCAGTGGCAGCAGAAATTAAGAGACAGCTTTGACCCAGAAAGATCTTGGGATAAATTATTTGCTTCATCACAGAGTAGGCCAGTGTCAGAGAAGTGTCTTGTATTTTTGAGACTCTTGCAGCCTCTCATCTGCTAGCTCAGAAACACAGCAGGCCTCTTCTCTGGAAGTCCTGGAGGCAGAAGCCTCCAGTCTTGCTCGGCTGCTCCTTTTTTTATTGACTAAGCTGATTAAGAGAAATCATGGTTTCAAAGACATATGAATGAGTGTTTAAGGACCTAGTTTCTAATCCCCAAGTTCTGCCACAGGAAGTCTTCAAAGGAAGGATGATACAATCTAGAAATACAGAGATTGATCATACAGTTTTATTTGAGGAAAACCATAGTTTGACCTCTGAGAATTCAAGATCAGTGCTCGTAGTCCTGTGTCAGGGAAGTCTCAGGTGGTCCATAGTGGTTCATGTTGGTGATGTGGCATCAAAGGTGAATCACAGCAAAACTGAGTTAGAAATGCTTAAAACAGATGTTCTCTAGTTTGCCAAGAAGCCTGAGCCCTTAATGAGGACATGTGGCTGAAGCGGAAAGCATTAGCAGTTTTCTTGCAGAATGTTGTTCTGTACTTTAACTTCGTCAATACTGTTCCTTCTTTGCATAGTTATTAAGCTAAATATCATTGAGGCATGAGCAAATTTGATGAGAGGAATATTTGTTTGTGCTCCCTGTATATTTCAGAAATTAAAGGTTTTTCAGCAGGCACAATCCTGCCTTGTGAGCCAGATTTTTCAGTCTAATTCTTTTCTGCAGTCATGGAGCAGAACAAACATTTGAAATAACTTTCCCCAGCTTCATCACCGTTGTCAGACAGAGTATATATGCAAATGAAACTAATAAATTTTGCTGGAGTTCTCTGGATTCCACCAGAATGTATGGAATTGTCTTCTGTTAGTTAACAGCGCTTAACACTTATGTAGCAATTTCCATCCTTGGTGACAAGCTTATTAATCAATGCAACACCTCTGAAAGGAGCATTGCTATGTATTCCTATTAGAGTGTGAAATTTGAAACGTATGGATGTGCTCTGAAGTGTTGGTTAAATAGCCCAAGTAACCTGGGTTTTGAATTTGGGAGTTTGTGGTTTCTGTCCCATGATTAGGCCAGACTCCTTTGACACACAGACCCCTTTATGTGTTTAATAGATCAAGCCCTGCTGGGCTTAGAGCCACCCATCAGCATGGCCATACTCTGACTTTGAAATGTGGCAATAACACAACCAGTTTTTATAATTGCTGCCTAGAGGACCTGAGATGGGGATACAGCACACTGTGGCTCTGCTGCAGGAAAAGCCAGCAGAAATACCTGCTCTTTGCAGCTTTGTTAAGACTTGCAGGAGTTGGAAGGTGTGTTTCCAGTGCACAGTAAATAGGGTTGTGCTAAACGACCCCTGCCTTTTTTTATGCCAATAGGTGTGATGACAGTGTTGGGTTATCAAAGAAGTCAATCCTGACATAGTGATGATAACTTTGTCTAGAGTGAAATATCCATTGAGTTCCCTCATCTCTTTTCTGTGCCCACTATTGTAGGACACTAGTGGTACTGCTGATCTGCTCTTCTTGCAGCCAAGAAAGTGTCAGATGAGAGTGTTTTCACTGGTTACATCCCAGGAAAAAGAAAAAAGTATGTTCTGTCCAATAAGCTTGGTTTGGGAAACGAGTCCTTTCCACTGCTACCAGGGCTGCAGAAGCCACCAGGCAAGTGCAGTGAAAAGGGCCTCCTGTAAAGTGTGTAATGCAAGGCAAACCATTTCAGTTGGTGACTAAAGCCATACCAATAAAGCTCACCTCCTGCATAAATCAAGTGATTGATAGCATGTTTGAGAGCTTTTAGCAGTACCTTGACAGTGCCATCCAACTGCAATAAAACACATGGATTTCTCTGCAACCTTTGCAGATAAACCCCCCTCATGTTGCATGTAAGAAGAGCTTCAAGAACAGCAAAAAAAGGTACTATAGTAGGAGGGGAACTGTTGAGCATCTCATTGCTTTGCTCTGTTAGTAGGCAGCCTCTGAGTCTTTGTCAGCAGCCTGACATAAATCAGCCTGCTCAGGGGTAACAGCCCATATGTGCCCTGTGAGCCAGAACAGGAGGCTTTGGGATGCCTGGAAGGAAGATTCCATATGAGAACAGCTACCTAAAAATTCACACCTCTCTGGCAAGCTCAGCAGGTATAATACCTTGAAAGGACAGACCAGGGCCATGGGCTCCCACATACCTTCCTGTAAGGCATAGGCTGCATTCTCATTCCCACTGCCTGTCTGCTCAAAAAGCTGAGTTCCTGGTACTGCCCGTGGTTTGGGATGGGGGCTTGTAGCCGCTTCTCTCTCTTGTGGATGCTGAGTCTGGCCCCTCAGTGCATCTGGTGCTTGGTCTCATGCTGTTAATAGGAACTGATTGCTCATGTTGAAAAGGACTCTGTGTTTAGAGGATCTGTGCATCCAGGCATTGTGAAACATTTATACCTAAAGCTGTGGAAACATTATATGAGTTTTTATGACCAAATCTGTATCTGTTTCCTTGTCTCATGGTCATAGAAATCTTGTCTCTGTCATTGGGAACCCACAAACCTTGGAGAAGTTAAGGGGCTTCTGGGAAACTCTTACTGAGATGAATTTTATGGTTAGATTCTGTTCCTTCTCACCAGAGAAGGAAATCAGGTTCATGGGACTCCAAAACCTGGGGAAGCACCTTGAAAATACCATGGATGATCTGCTTGATCTGATTCATCCACACACAGCTTGTTTAGAAACTGGTTGCAGCTACAAGGCTTGGGTTTGGTCCAAATATCCCTTAATTTAAAGGTGAGATCTTTATCCTGCTGATGCGAATGTGATTTCTATCACTGGCTTAACTGGATGAGGGTCTACACTGCATTTTAAACCTCAGTTTCAGTTTGACCTATATGTAATGTGAAGACAGCTATTAGCTGGGAAGTCTGAATTTCTAGAACTCTCTCTCTCAATAGTCCTTATTAAATTCACTATTCCAGCATAATGTAGCTTTCTGTTCTAATCATAGCATTGCTGTATTTGGGTATGGCACATGAAAGGGGTTACCTTGCTCTTGTAGAAGAATCCTCCTTAGGTTCACTTACTCTGGGGACCCACACCACATTTCCTCAGTTCCGTGCACAGGCCAGATTTTCAGCTCCCTTTTAATCTTTGGCA